CATTTGACCAAATGCACAAAGGATAAATTCACACACCCTCATTATAGACCAAACCCATGTGTCCAGATCCATCTTCACAGGGTCCCAGAGCCCAGCAACTTGGACGCTGTGTTGGAAAGCTATATAACTTTATGAGTCTGCAGCTTTGTAACTGGTGTTTCCTCTCCATGGGGTCCTGCAGATTCCTTCTTTGTAAGTCCTTTAAGATGCCTCAAAACAATGACCTCCTCAGCTGTTCCCCCGTGACTCTGGTGGATTCAGAATGGGGTGATGGCGCCGGGGAGAAGGCCCAAAGGGTAAGATTCTTGCTGCAAAAGCATGAGAATACAAATTTAGATCCCCAGAGACCAGGCAGAAGGCTGGCGTGGCAGTGTGTGCCTGTAACACCAGCACCGGGGAGGAAGGGATGGGAGGGATGGGAGGTTCCCCAGGGTTTGCTGGCCAGCCTAGCTCAGTCAGTGAGCCCCAGCTTCAGTGCCAGACCCTGTCTCAAAACAAGATAGAGCGACTGACTGAGAGGACATCTGAGCCTCTGGTCTCCACACTGGTACCCACACACGAACACACACACACACACACACACACACACACACACACACACACACACACACACACACCCTTTCCATCTTCCCCAAAGAACAAAAAAGCTGAACATGGTGGTTCATGCCCGTAATCATAATTCCTGAGTCACTGAGACAGGAGGATTGCAATGAGTTCAAGGCCATTTGGGCTACATATTGAGTCTGAGGCTATGCTGGGCTGCAGGGTGGGACTCTGTCGCGCATGCACACACACACACACCCCTCTTACACACACACCAATGTATTACTTCCTTTCCGTAATGGCCTAGGTTGGTCACTTCACCATATGTCGTCTTTAACGTTGCTACCTCACGATCATATAAGGTTACAGGCACGTTGGCGGTGGCCCTCAGCTGGAGGAAGCAGGATGGAGACAGGTGGTCCTCGAGGGTTATTGCCTGGCTCCGCTGGCTTCTGGCTCCAGTCTCTCTGTTGGAGATGTGGCAAGCTATTTAGAGAGCTCCTGCCGTCGTGGCTAGCGAGCAGCCTGGCTTCCACACCCCACCCCCTACCCCCCTGCGACAGACGGTGTCCCCGTAAGCCGGGAAACCCAGATAAACCCTTCCTCCCTTGGGTTGTTTCTGTCAGCAATTTCCTACAGATATGAGAAAAGTAACTAACCCGGGGGCTGAGACAGGGCTCAGCGGTAGAGCATTCACCGAGCATTTGTGAAGCCCTGCCTTCCACCCTACATACGACATAAAACCGGGGTGTGGTGGCACCTGCCTGAAATCTAACAAGCAGCAGGGTCAGAAGTTCAAGGTCCTCCTCAGCCACATAGCAATTTTTATGTTGTCCTGGGCTACATGAAACCTAAGGTTGGGGCCGAGGCTAACATAGTAAGCACAGACGGTGTCATTTCAGAGGGGTCCTACAAGGTTTGGAGGAGTCGGATCTAGTAAAGTCTGGACGACAACGGTGGTGTCTGCACTGGTAACACTAAGCTTTGTAGCCACATGGATTCTGTGCAAGCTCCTCCTGCAGGCCTGATTGTGTGTTCTTTGTTCAGTCTGGTGTGACAGTGCCTCTCCTTTGGATGCTGGGAACCCCCCCGCACACCCCACTTTTAATGGCAGCCTGACTTATGGACCGGACTCAGTGACCACTTGCAGGGAAGGATGCTACCTTGGGCTTTCGCACGCCATCCTCAACAGCGTGCGTCTGTTATATGCGAATCATTTCAACAGTGTGCCGCATGCTGATGGCGGGTGGCAGGATTTCCTCCGAGTCCCTTTTCTTGGTCGCCCCCATAGCTTTACCTGGGGTTGCACATGGACTACATGTGCTGTTTAGAAGCTCATGCTTAGCTCAGTGTGTTGATTTCTCTTTGGTCACTTGGCATGCCTTTATTAGCATTTAAAAAAAATTCTTATGGGGGGGCTGGAGAGATGGCTCAGAGGTTAAGAGCACTGACTGCTCTTCCAGAGGTCCTGAGTTCAATTCCCAGCAACCACATGGTGGCTCACAACCATCTGTAATGAGATCTGGCGCCCTCTTCTGGTGTGTAAGCAGAATACTGTATACATAATAAATAAATAAATCTTAAAAAAAATAAATCTTTAAAAAAAAATTCTTATGGAAGTTGGGTGTGGTGGTGTACACCTTTAATCACAGTAGTCGGGAGGCAGGGGCAGGCAGATCTCTGAATTGAGGACAGCCTGGTCTACAAAGGGAGTTCCAGGACAGCCAGGGCTACAGAGAGAAAAACCCTGTCTTGAAAAACAAAACAAAAATCTTATGGTTTATCCACAATTAAGCTGAGCTTCAGAGCTGTGAACTAAGGGGAAGAGCATCAGGCTTGGAGGTGGCTCCGTGGGTAAGGGTGTTTGCTGCCTGGGAATCCCTAGCACCCGAATGGAAAGTAGGGCGTGGCCACTTGATTTTGTAAACCCAGCTGCTGCTCTTGGACACTAGAGGATCTCAGGGCCCGGTGGGACACCAGTGCAGCTCCGGGGTTCACTGGGGGGCCCCGTGTCATGGGAATATGGAGAGTGATAGAGTAGCAGAGCAGGACACCTAACATCCTGCTTTTATCTCACATGTGTGTACCTGCACATATGTGTGCATATAAAACACCCCCCCTACTACACATACACCACACACACACACACACACACACACACACACACACACACACACACACATACATTAACGACAGCAAACGGACTCTTCCTCAATGGTGTCTTCCCCAAGGAAAGTCCCCACTGTGAGGAAACAGTCTGTAATGTGAGTCTTCACAACCTAACGGATTTCCTCAGACTCCAGAAAGGGAAGTGGGGTGAATAATACTACCCCTGATAAACATCAGCGCAACAGAAATAGCAAGAATACGGGAGTCCCCTTACCCTCTGGAGACTGAGACCCAGAGGATGTCTCAAACTGCATAGCATAACCCCCTTTAGATGGGTTTCCCCTACACACACATCCATGATAGTTAATTTATATATTAGGCACTTTAGGGGTTAATAACAATAATTTACCACAGATCTTCACAACTTTGGTATATCAGGGTTTAATTTTAATTTTTTCCATTAAAAGAAAGTGTTTGAGCTCCTGGCTGTTCTGGAACTCACTAGGTAGACCAAGCTGGCCTGGAACTCATAGAGATCCTCCTGCCTCTGCCTCCCAAGAGCTGGGATTAAAGGTGTGCAGGCGTGCACAGCTATCCCTGGCTAGGTTTTACCTTTTTGTTGTTTGTTTTTTAATTTTTAAAAAGCTAATTTTTGCACACCTTAAACCCCAGGATTCAGGAGACAGAGGTGGGTGGATCTCTGTGACTTTGAGGCCCACCTGGTCTATGTGGTGAGTTCTAAGACAGCCAGGGCTATATTTATATGTCTCAAGAAACCAAAATAAATAAATATTTAAAAATTAATTTTTATTTTATGCTTGTTTGTTTTGCCTACATGTACATATATGTGCCTGGTGCCTGTGAAGGTCAGAAGAGGGCATTGGGTCCATTGGAACTGGGGTTACAGATGGCTGTGGGCAACCCTGTAGGTACTGGGAACTGAACCTGGATCCTCTAGAAAATCAACACGCGTCCTTAACCACTGAGCTATCTCTCCAGCCCCATTGTTTGTTTTCTGATTTCCTGGCTGGACTTTAACTACCAGAGCCTCTCAAAAAGGGGCTGGAGGGATGGTGAGATTTCACTGTGGGTAAAGGAAGTTAGAGGGCCTGAGTCTGGATCCTCAGTACCCATGGAAAAACCTGGGTATGGCAGTAACCCCAGAGCTTGGGGCTGGAGATGGACAGATTCCCTGGGCTCGCTGGCTAGCCATTCTAGCTGAAACTGTGAGCTCCAGGTTCAGTAAGAGACCTTGTCTTAAAATAACAATGTGGGAAAGTTATAGAGAAGGATACCCATATCAGTCTCTGGCCTTCAAATGAACATGCCTGGGTATATGCACCTGTATACACATGTGCGTGTGCACGCACGCATGCACGCATGCACGCGCATTCACTCCAAGTTCAAAATAGTTGGAGGGGCTCTGCTGTTTGATGATGTAAGACAGGCCATGTGACAGTCAGTATTACCACCATTCACCCCATCTGTCCCTCCTTGTTGACCCTTTCCCGGGAGTCCAGAGGCTAGGGGGTTCACCTGGGTTAAGGCTGCCCACATCTGGTCCTCCTCATGGTTTCCAGAAGACAGGGCAGGCCTGTGCATGAAACTGAGTTCACATGAGTTCAGACTCCTCGGGCTCCCTGGCTAGAGCCTGAATATGCAGCCCAGATCCTTTCACCTTGCCTTCCAGGAGAGCAGGCAAGGATAAGATGCCCAGGTCTGGCCACGACCTCTATCTCTGAAGCCTCCCCATGGTGCCCTGGCCCCTTTTATGATTCTGAGGTTGAACCCAGGGCTCTGTGACTTGAGGCAAATACTCAGCACTCTTCTTACCTCCCTTTGTGTGTCTGCTTAAGCCGACTGAGACCTCATTCTGCACACAGTCCAGCCTGGCCTTGAACTTATGATCTTCCTGCCTCCGCCTCCCAAGTAGCTAGGATGACAGGCCTGGGCTACCTGACCTGCCTCCCCTTGGTTTTGATGTGGGGTGGTATTTTTTTTTTTTTTTTAAGTTTCTTTTATTTTTCTGTTCAGCATTCCTGGCCCTGGTGATAACAGGCCTTGTGAATTATGACCCAAGCAGCAAATGTTTTTAATCTCCCATGAAACAAAGCCAATGTGTTTTCTGTCCCTGGGGCCTCCGCCAGGCAGGAGCTACAGCTGTCTTGATATGGTGAACTCGGCTGACGTCAATGCAAGCCATGCCAGGCCAAGGGCTCCACTCGGGAAGCTTGTAAGTGATACTGAAAACAAATTTGCATTTTTTTCCTTTACAGGAACTCAGGCTACTCTCTGCTCCACTGAGAGGCTGAGATGTTTTCACTGGGTTCTGTGCAGCCAGCAGGCTGAACAAGACCCAGTCACCAAACTTTTGGAAGGCGCCCTCTGCTTTTGTTCTTTAATTTTCCTTTAAGATCCAGCCAGCCAGATTCGTGTTCCCTGGCCCGAGGCTGAAAACCCTGGCAGGCTCACACTTTTCTGCAGCTCTTAGGAAACAGCCTGGCCAATGGTCACTTGAAATGGAAAACAGTCCCAATTTGGAATTTCAGTATTGGAGCCAAAATGTTAGTCAAAACTCTAAATTTTAACATCCCATTCCCCTCCCTGCCCCAGCTGAGCCTGCTTAGGGCTGGAAGCCTGCATGGGAAAGGGGTGAGTCTGGTTGTGCCCCCCCCCCCCACTTTCCCGTCTGGCTCTGTTTCCCACTTGCCTGCTTGCAAGGTTGGTGGTAGGCAAGGGGCCAAGGGGCCAGGGCAATGCTGGGGGGTGGCGCGCTGGAGGGGCTCATTCTTTGGCTGAAGTAGGTACCTGCCCTTGGCCCCTTCTCTGAACCCCTTCCATATGGGCACTTGAGACTTTATTCTCTCGCGTCTGTCTTCGGCTTCTTTCTGTACTGGGAATGGAACCCAGGCCTTTGACCATGCTAGGCAAGGTCTCTTCCGCTGACCTGCATTCCCAGCCTCCTTTCCCTTTTTGAAACAAAGTCTCATTGGGCTGGACTTGAACTCACTCTGTAGCCCAGGCAGGCTTTGAATCCATGATCCTCCTGCCTCATCCTAGTAGCTGGGATGGTAGGCGTGAGTCTCTTGACATGGCTTACCTATACTTCCTTCCTGTGGGCTTTCTGCCCCTTCTAGTAGCTCCATGAGTCAGTCAGGCACTCAGTGGCCCACACTGGTCCCCTCTTGGCCTGGACTGGCTCTGACCCTCCTGAATTGCTTATCCTGACAAGCTCTTGGCCCAACACTTGCTCCTGGTCCTGACACTAAAGCAGATAGTCCTCAGCTTGTGTACAATGTCCCCGTGATTGTTGTAACAAACAGACACAAGCTTGATGTCTTCAAACAATAGTTCATTCTCTCATGGTCCTGGAGGACACAAGTCTGACATCACTTTCATTCCGCTGTGTCCACGGAACAGCATTCTCTCCAAGGCTCCAGGAGTCACTTTTGATCCCTTCCAGCTGGGGTGGTGTCTGCCATTACTCAACTTGTGGCCTCATCACCTCAACCACGTCCATCTTAGAATCTGGATGTAAAATGCTCTCCACAGGCTCATGGGTTTGAACACTTGGTCCCCTGCAGATGGCACTGTTTGGGAAGTGTGCGAAGTTTAGGTCAAGCCTAGCTGGAGGAAGTGGATGGGTGGGAGCAGGAAATTGGGTGAACTTGGAGTGTTATGAACTGGCCCCTTCTCTCTGTCTTGTTGGTGCTTCCTGACTGCCTCTGACATGTGACTGGCCACCTCACACTTGTGCTGCCACAGTGGCAGGCCACTTCTGGCACCCTGCTTTCTCTCCCCACTGCGGTGGACTGCATTCTCCCAACTGGATGCCGGAATAACCCCTCTCCTTCTGAGGCGGCCTTCATGAGGTGTTTTGTCACAGCAGTGAATGAAGCAATCATACACTAGGTCTCTGTCTTCTAAGGACAGTCCTTGTATTTAGGGCTTTTGCCTTCTCAGCTTTGGGTCACCTGGGATAACTGCTTCTTCTCATGGTCCTTAATCATATTGCAAAGACTCATTTTCCTAAAGACAAAACCAGCCAAACATACACACACACACACACACACACACACACACACACACACTCACCAAAACTCCTCTCCTTTACAGGCCTCAGGGAGGAACCTGGCATCTTTGGGGGCCTCTGCCGGCCTACGGCAACCCAATTTAGACTCTCTGAAGTCCTGACTGGCAAAGGTCTGCTCTTCTCTGCTCTCAGCTAAAGGGCATCCCAGGGTAAGGTCTGCCACAGTCTGATGTGCAGGGACGGTCCCCGCTCGCCTCCAGGGAGCCTGGATTCCTCCACAGACACATTGCTCAGAAGACTCTCTGCAAACTCGGATCCCCAAGCAGCCAGCATCCTACAAGGGAGAGGGGAGGTGTGGGGAGGCTTGAGATTCTAGGTTGTTTCCTGCCGCGCTGCAAGTGGTGTGGCCTCCAGTCTGTTACCTTTACGGTGGGAATATTAGCGGCTGATGATGCCCAAGCTTGTAGCCTTCAAACTGTGACCAGCCCCCGAGAACCCAGACAGGGGCTACTGAGGGCTGTGATCAGCCACACCTTCCCCAGCCAGCCTGGCCCCTGAAGTGTACAGGCTTGCACCTGGGGCTCCTTGAGCGACTTGTCTCTTGTTCTCTCTCACCCGCCTGGTGCCTGACCTCACTCTGTTTTCTTTGCCAGTAGTTCGATGACGCAGACATTGCCATGTGATCGCGAGACGCTAGTGACAAGGGAGGCAGCCGCAGGCCTCCTTCTTGGGACTTGCAGTTCATGAGGTGTGTCGAAGCGGAACCCTCCTGCTCTGTGAGCTAGCGGACTGCCATTTGATAAGGAGACTGCGTGTATGAGTGCTGCAGAGATGGACAAGCTGGCCTGGGAACAAAATACACTTATCTTCTAGCATTCGGTCCAGCTTTTTTTGGGGGTGGGGTGGGGGGGAGTGCTGGGAGAGCGGATGGGTAGAGGGAGGAACAGATTTATTTGGAAGGCCCTGGAATGTTCAGATAATAAATCCTTTTATCTCCTCTTCCACCTTCGCAGTGGAAATGAGTCTCTGGCCAGCTAGGGGAGGGAATGAAAAAGCACCAGCCTTGGGCTAAATTCCTAAACGCTTGGGCACACTGCTGGACACGGTGCCCCTCTGTCCCCAGGGTCCTGTGAGAAAAACCGCAGCATAGAGAGGGACAGAGCAGCGTCAAAGGTGTTCAGAACGACAGCCACCAAAGGCTGAGCGTGCCCACGGTCTCGCAGTATGCCCAGATTATTACTTTCTTGAGCTATTTCTATCACCCCAAGCCTTCCACCAATGACTTGAAAAGGAATGTCAAGTCTTCTCCTAGTCTCTCGAATCTCATTTTGCTGTTTGTATGTGTGTGTGTGTGTGTGTGTGTGTGCACGCACATGTGTGTGCAGGCCACAGGATGAGCCCAGGTGTTATTTCTCAGGCCCATCCACCTTTTTGTTTTGAGACAGGGTCTCTCACTGGCCTGGAAATCACCCAGCAGGTTGACCAGAGAGCCTCTGGGTTAGGCTGATCTCCACTTCTCCAGAACTGGGATCACAAGAATGCATCCCTGTACCCAGCCTTTTTTTTTTTTTTTTTTTAACAGGAGTACTGGGGATTGAACTCAGGTCTTTCCCGACAAGTACCTTCCCAACCAAGCCGTCTCTCCAGCCCTCATCTTTTTCTTGATTCTTTGAACCATTGTATCATTGGCTTAAATGAGGGCCTGGTCTGAGTGGGCCCACACTTCTATTTGGATAATCCTGGGGGAAACTGAGGAAGATTTGGGGACAATCTGAGAGCAAGATTTCCTTCAGTGTGGTCAGACTGGATTAGATGTTGAGGCTGCCATAGCAGAGACTGAATAAACCAGGTGACTTAGAAATCAAACATGGCTGTCTCAGATCTTAACAATGCATGCCGTTCCTGCGGAGCACCTGATCTCGAAGCCTAGTGTCAGGTCAGGTGTCTCACAGCTGCCTATAATTCCAGCTCCATGGGATATGACATCCATTGGCATCCTGGGTAGTGCATTGATGTACACAAGACAGACAGAGAGACACATATACACATCATTAAAAATAAAAACAAAACCATTTAACAAAGAACAAATACTGATTTGTGGGCCCTAGAAATCCACCATCAAAGGAGCAGCAGAGCAGGTTTCTCTGGAGTCCTCTCCTCTTGGCTCACCAGTAGCTGTGGTGTCCTGTGTCCCCATCTGTGTCCACCCGTGTCCTAGTACCCATTTCCTATAAGGACCGCAGTCAGATTGCAAGAGACCTCATTCCATTCACTACGTTAAACCTTTTCATATATTTTTTTTCTCATTTTGAGACCGTCTTGCTATGTAGCCCAGGCTGGCCTCAAACTCATGACCCTTCTGCCTCAGTCTCCTGAATGCTGCTGGGATTATGGGCATGTGCTACCATGCCCATCCACACTGAACCCTAATTACCTCTCTAAAGATATTGTCCAGGATATCAATATGGGAATTTGGTGGGGACATGATTCTGCTCCTAACATGATATGCTCCTAGCATATGTGATTTCAAGTATTCCTTCCAGTGACACTGAGATAGAGGACATTGTACACACACACACACACACACACACACACACACACACACACACACACACACACACGATAAAACCATAAAGATTAGGCAAGCTCATTAAGGCTATGCACTAGCAAAGAGCAGAGACGTGAGTCACCCCAGGGCCAGTCCCTCAGCCTGCACTTTTCCCATCCACCCCACTGTCTGCTGAAGCCAGATGACTGCGCCGTGTGAGGCGTGTGAGGCGTAGAGAGAGGGTAGGAGGCAGAGAAAGGTGGCATGTCACAAGCTAGCTAAAAATAAAGCCCCGGGGTCATATGTCCATGCAGTGTCAACTAAACTTCCCTTCCCAGTCTTGGTCCAGTGCACTGTTGGGGCTCCTTTTCCCCGAGTTGGCCCCGGCACTCCCTGGAAAGACTCTCCCACAGAAGGTGAAGCAGAGGTGCGTCCAGAAGGAGGCTCAGGGCAATGGGCAGCATGGTTCCTGACTCCAGCTGGCACAGGAATCAGCCTGGAGAGTGGCAGGGAAGCAAAGGTCACGGAAGAACAAGATTCCCTTGAGTGGGAAGGACACTGTGCCACCTCCTTCCCCAGAGCTCTGCCAGGGCTGGTTCTGCAGAGATGTTCACACTGAGGGCTCCCAAGGGCTATCTATGGTCTAAATTGATCCCAATCCCACCCTTGAAATTCATAAGCTCGGCTCTGATTCGAATATGAAATGTCTCCATAGGTTCATACATTTGAATACTTGGTCCCTAATGTGTGGCACTATTTTGGGAGGTGGGCTCTACCAGGAGAAAGTGGGTCACTGGACAGTCCTAGCCCCACCCTGCTTCCAGACCATCCTCTGTTTCCTACTCTGATGGGATGTGAGGGTTCCAGTCTTATGCTTCCACTACCATACCTGCCTTGTCATGATGGACTGTGCGCCTTCCCATGGGGCATGAGCCACAATGAACCCTTCATTGCTTAAGTTGCTTTGTGATGTGTTTGGCCACAGCAACAGGAGGGTAAGGAGTCTAAATCCACGCCTGCTGTCTCAGCACATATGTGCATGCACTGAGATGGGGTCTTGAAGAAGTTCCTCCTAACCCAGCCTGACTGCTGCCCTTAGAGGAAATGAGTTTAGAGTCAAGGAGATGCCTTGGGTGGCTGAGTGTCTGCTGTTTAAGCATGAGGACTTGAGTTTGGATTTCCAGCACCCATATAAAAACTGGGGAAGGCAGCATGTGTTTATAACTCCAGCACTTGGGGTAGAGGTGGGCAGAAATGGGTGGATCTCTGGAGCTCACGGTCTAGCTGGACTGATGAGCTCTGGGTTCAATGAGAGACCTTGTCTCAAAAATTAAAACAGGGCTGGAGAGCTGGCTCAGCATTTAGGAACGGTTCCTGCTCCAGCAGAGGACCTGAATTCGATTCCCAGCACCCACATCGGGCTGCTCACAGTCACCTGTACACTCCAGCTCCGGGTTTCCTGGACACCGCCTTTTGGATGCTGTGAGCACTGGTGAAAGTACACACACACACACACACACACACACACACACACACACACACACACACCACACCACACA